GCAAGGACTTTAGAAGTAAAACATAAAAGAACCCAAGTGAATTGAGCAGGTGCCAAAAGACTCTTTCAGAACACTCATTAACAAAGCAACATCACAGGTACAAATAAACTTCCTACCCTGAATTGCCACCTCATTCCAATTTCCTCACTCTCTTTTAGCACCCCTAAATTCACAAGTCTGTAATTCCGATTAGTCACTCAATAGGTTGTGTCCACTCCTTTTCCCAGACACTTCTTACTGTCACTGAACATTTCTAGCCTATGCTCTGAAAACTAGAACCAGATACACCTGTCCAACATTGGACAAATCATCAATAAAAACAGTATACCCTTGCCCCAGCTAGTCCTTTATTCAAAAGGATAGGGCTCCTCCAAATTCCACTTACAGTTTTGAAGTGAAAGAGACGTCAAACGGTGTCACCAATCACAGTTAGCTCCACATTCTCTCACTAATAATTTGTTTGGGGATACTCCATCAATTCCACTGACACGAAAGATGACCAAGCAACCTTCTTCTAGACAATGGAAACAAACCTACTGATTTCCCAATGAAAACTCAAAAACTAGGCTATGTCCCTTTTTGTCTGTCCTGTCTAAAACATGGGCTTAATATGTGGAGGTGCAGGAAGCAGGCACTCAAGAGCAATGAGAGACAGCCTGCCTGGTGGGTCCAGCAACGGCAACACCCTAAATTTGTTCTATACTAGCAAAGATAAACCTCTTTGCAGTAGGCTGTGGAGGTAAGGCTGCTGCTTCGTTTCCTGGAGTAAAGTCATAACTGTTACCAGCACCACTGCTTCCCACCAGCCCCTTCATTCCGAATGCTTCCTATATTCAAAGGGCACACCTTGATTTCAGCCCCCACAAACACACAGTTTGACGTTTCTTTTAAAATGAATCATATACTTACCATACAACCACTCTATCCCACACCCAGATTCTTACCCAAATAAAAGTCTACATTCAAAACAAAAATTCATACATGATGCTTATGAAGGCTATCTAAATGCCAAATACTGGAATCCACCTTCAACTGGGAAATGAATGTACAACTGTGACTGACATATCTATACAATGGAACAGAAAAGAACTCAGAAACAAAAATGAACTAGTGCTACACACAACTTCTTGACTCTCTAAAGGCTACATGCTGCATGATGCCACCTATGTGATATTCTGCAAAGATACAAATATGACAGAGATCAGTGATGCCAAGCGGCAGAGAAAGCCAGAACTGGGGCTGAACAGGTGGAATACTAGTCTATATCTACTTGTGGTAGTATTCATATAACCACATTTAAGAAAGAGGGAATTACATGGCATGTGTATTATACCTTAAACTGGGGGAGGAAAGAGGTAGATACTTCACCTCTTACAGGAAGCCTTGCACTGACTGCTCTTGCAGGAGACCAGAATTTGGTTTCCAGCACCCACAACTACTCGTAACTCTAGTTCCAGGGAATATCCAACACCCTCTTTTGGCCTCCAGGGGCATTGCATGCACAGGCGCACTTACATTCAGACAAAACAACCATTACACATAAATGAAAACAAGTCAAATAAATGTTAAATCCTATTTTTAAAAAAATAGTTCACCAATGGGACAATACTGGACATCTATACTAAAGAAGCAGAGAGTGGATTCATATTTAAAGATGGGCAAGACTTTCCTGTAGACCCAGGAATGAATGGAAATATTCCCAAAGGTAGCAGTTCTGATGGGCTAAGCATAGGAAGCAGAGCTCCAAAGATGGAAAAGGTTTGACTTTCTGTAACAGAAGCAGCAGTATGAACAAAACTAAGAAGTCAAAAGTCAGCTAGGCCTGGTGGCACATAGGCTTGGAATCTTAACACTTGAGTAGGTAAGACAGGAGGGTTGCCACAAGTTTGAAGCTCACCTGGTTCTACACAGTGAATTCCAGACCAGCCAGGACTATATATAGTAAGACCTATCTAAAATAACAACAAAAACCACAAACATGTCACAAGGTCTAAAAACCTGTATGAGATACAACAAATAAGTCTAGCTGATAGCAAAAGCTCCGAGATAATGTGGAAATAACCAAAAAAGATAAGCCCACATTTAGAATCCTAACTACCAGTTCTGAATAAACTATATAATGAACATCTAATTTTCCACCTCAGAAGAAAAAATATAAAGGAAAAACTAAAGTTGTATTTCTTAACCCAGTTCCCTAAGTCGGCCAGCACTGCCCACTCACCCACACAACACATCCCAACTGCATGATGTTCCGGAAAGGACTTAGCTCTTGAGCCAGAGCTGAGATCTTCCAAGGTAAGTGAAGGACAACGGACTGAGGGAGCTGAATACTGACACAAGTGGTTGAAGTGAAGACTAAAGGGGGGTTGAAGGCAAAGAAGGTCAAAGAGTTATGAGTGAGAAACTTCAATTGGTCCAAACCCAAACCCATCTGGAAGGATGGGTATAAAGTGAAAATCAGTTTAACAAACTCAAAATTTATACTCTAGTCACCATTACAACTAAGAAATAACTATACAATGAACACTAAGTTTCTGCCACAAATGAACAAATATACTCAAAGAAGATTATGTTCAACTTGAAAATCCAAGAATGTGCATGAAAGTGGCTGAAGTGGCAGAGTTGAAAGATGCTAGAAATCTGAAGGTCAAAAGATTCTTAAGAGGCCAGGTGTGGTGGCACATGCCTTTAATCCCAGCACTCTGGGGCAGAGGCAGGTGGATCTCTGTGAGTTCAGGGCCAGCCTGGTGTACAAAGTGAGTTCCAGGGAGGCCCTGGCTCAAAAAGACCCTCCCCCACAAAAAAAGATGCTGAGCAACCTTGACAACACAGGTCAACTGCAGCATCCAATGAGCCAAGGACAGTTGGCAAAGGCAGCCTCTAGTTAAGATTCACTGAGCGTGGGCATTAGAATTGAAGAGGACAACACAGATGACAGCAGCAGGCTCCAGGAGAAAGGACATGGAGCAATGTCCAGGAATTCCTGTCAAGGAGGCCTCCCATACTTTAGGTTCTTATTTTATTTCATCTTGCCACAGCAATCCACACTGCTAACTCTTTGAACTCTCCCCTCCGCTGGCTTTCATGACAAGCTACCTATGTCTCTCTTGCTCCCACTGGCAGTTTTCTTGTTTTCACTACCAGGCTTTTAAATGTTAGTCTCAAGACTTGATGCTTGGCTATCTTCTTTTTACTCTCCCCTCTCTGTTTCATGATGCATGGTTTCCTAATTTAAAAAAGAAAAATCTATCTCCAGTCCAGCCTGGCCCAAGACTCAGTATCTACTCAACATCTCAAGTACAGATGATGTAAATTCAGTGCTCAAAATCAGCACTTCTAGGAGCTGGAGAGATAGTCAGCAGTTAAGAGCACTGACTGCTCTTGTCGGGCACTCAGGAGGCAGAGGCAGGTGGATGTCTGTGAGTTCAAGGCCAGCTTGGTCTACATAGCGAGTTCCAGGCCAGCTGGGACTACAGGGAGACCCTGTCTCAAAAAGACCAGGAAAAGGGCTGGAGAGATGGCTCAGCAGTTAAGAACACTGGTTGTTCTTGCAGAAGACCCCGGTTCACATCCCAGCACCCATATGGCAGCTAACAACCGTCCATAACTCCAGTCCCAGGGGATCCAACAGCCTCTTCTGACCTCTTCCGGCATTACACAACATGGGTACACTTACCTACATGGAGGGAATACATGCACACACATAAAATTAAAAAAAATGTTTTTTAAAAGATAAAAATTATTGTCTGAGGCTGGGAAAAATAAAAGAGCACTGACTGCTCTCACAGAGGGCTGGAGCTCAATTCCCAGCACCTACATAGAGGCTAACCAGCTGCTATACAAAAGTGTAACCTGCTAGTCAAAAGTTTTCTGTATCTTCCTAAATTCTAAGACTAACTTTCTGCAAGGCTGCGTGGCAAACACTTGTAATCCTAGCTTCTCAAGGGGCTGGGGCAAGAGCATCAGTTCAAGACCTGCCTGGGCTATAGAGTAAGGTCAGGTCAGCCTGGGTGACATAGTGAGTTCCTGTTTCAAAAATAAGTAAAAAGAGGGCTAGGGACTGCACTCAGTGGTAGAGCACCTGCCTAGAACGAACAAGGCCCTAAGTTCAATCCCCGGTGCTGCAAAACAAAAAAATAAATTTTAAAAGAATAACCTCCTTTCCATCTCCAGTCCATTTCCATCTTCATTTCACTGATTCTAGGAAAACACTACTTGACTGTTTGACTCTTTTTTCTGTCTTTTATTGGTGCTGCAACTGCCCTGGATTCACTATGGAGACCAAGCTGGCCTCCAACTCACAGAGATCTGCCTGCCTCTGCTGGGATTAAAGGCGAGTGCCACCACACCCAGACTGCTTGACTGTCAAAGTGCACCTTATCATTGTAATGGCTCTACTTTAGTCTTCTGCTGTAGGATCAAGTATGTGACAAGACAGTAAAATGGAGTTCCAGACAATTTTTCACAAATATATTCTTAGCTAGACTAAGCCTTCATCAGTAACCGGTGTAAAGTCACAAATCATATGGTAAAGCTCATATTTCTTTTTTGTTTAACTTTAAAGATTTATTCACTCATTTCTTATTTGTTCGTTTTTATTTATGTGGAAGAATATATGCCTGCATGAGTTTATGTGCACCACTTCAGTGCAGGAGCCCTTAGGGGCCACAAGTGGGCATCAATCAAGTATCTATGCCACATACCCTTTTCACATTACTTGTTAAGCCAGGCTGGCCCTTATTTTGCGACACCATCTCGCCACAGGAGCCCTTAGGGGCCACAAGAATGTTCGTTTTTATTTATGTGGAAGAATATATGCCTGCATGAGTTTATGTGCACCACTTCAGTGCAGGAGCCCTTAGGGGCCACAAGTGGGCATCAATCAAGTATCTATGCCACATACCCTTTTCACATTACTTGTTAAGCCAGGCTGGCCCTTATTTTGCGACACCATCTCGCCACAGTAAAAGCTATTTATTAGCTCAAAGCTCATTACTCACTTTCTCCGTTCTTCCCTCCATCTTGCAATCTCCTCTGGAGTGTCCAGCTTGATCTTCTTCATACCAGGAGCATGCATCTAGGGGCAAGGAGCCTGCTGTACATCAGGAAGCATACTGTGCGCTGTTGACTAACTGGGACACTTCTGATTGTAGTAGATGTTTAACCTATTTTCTCAACTGACATTAAATATCCATGACTAATTTACAAACCAAAATTGAGGGTGGAAGCTAAAGAAATGAATGGACATGACCACTTTTTCCCATTTTATTTTTATGTGTGTGTGCATGCATGTGTGTTCATGTTCAGGTGCCCACAGAGGCCAGAAGAGGGCATCAGATCCCCTGGAGCTGGAGTTATAGGCATCTCTGAGTGACCAAATATGGGTAGTGGAAACTGAGCTTGGGTCCTCTGGAACAGCAGTAAAAGCTCTTAACAGCTGACCTATCTCTCTAGCCCCTGTAGATATGATCATTTTAAGAAGCACAGTTAATAAAACTAGCATACAATTTCAACTTCAAGAAGCAGCTCCAGGTAGGTAAATCATTCTTTTTAATCTGTTAAAAAGAGCCAATACAGTTTGTGAAGCTCAAATAGAGTAAGAGCTATACAACTCCCCTATGAAGCACAAAATACTCCATGAATATTATTTATGATTAGGACACATAAATGAGTAACTTATGAAAATAATAGAATAAAATAGTACTCATCAAAAAAGAAAAAAGATATACTGAAAAAAGACTACAAGAACTTACATTTCTCCAATGGAACTGGACAATCTTCTCATGTGCACTAAAAGAGCAGTCCACTTCAGGGCACTGAAGAGTTTAAAAGAAAAAGACTACTTAATGATTTCCACATTAAGTTTATGTTACCACGGGTTAGAGTCTAGTCATATGTCAGTTATTCTTCCTATGTTGCATTAGTGCTTTATTCTTATGTCAATAGCAAAACAAAGATCACTCTGAAACAAAGCTGCACTTGAGAAATGGAATGGCTGGGGCTGGAGAGGTGGCTCAGCAGTTAAGAGCACTGACTGCTCTTGCAGAGGACCTAGGGTCAATTCCCAGCACCCACATGGCAGCTATGAAATGTCCTTAACTCCAGTTCCAGGGGAATCTGATGCTCTCTTCTGACCTGAGGCATGCATTGCATGACACAGCACACTCACATACATGAAGGCAATATGCTCATACACATAAAATAAAAATAATAAATAAAATATTTTTTAAAACATGGAATGGCATCTTCAATGTAAATAGCATAGTTATGCATCTCATCTTCTCTACTTGAGTAAAACATGACATCAGCAATACTATATATAAAATGTTCTTTTATATTTGTGTGTGTGCGTGCATGCGTGATTTATTCACTCATTTCTTATTTGAAGAAAATTCCTAGGGCTGGAGAGATAGCTCAGTGGTTAAGAGCACTGGTGGCTTTGCAGAGGACCAAGGTTTAGTTCCCAGCACCCACATGGTAGCTAACAGCTGCCAAAACTCCAGTTCTAATGGATCTGACTCCCTTTTCGGGCATCTGTGGGCACTGCATACACATGGTACACCTACATACACGCAGACAAAGCACTTTTACACATTAAAAAAAAAGTGTAAAAAAATGTAAGTTCCTAATTCCTAAAGTTGAGGGGCATGCCTTGCTTCCAAACCAAGAATTTTCTCCTTTACAAGCATTTTAAATGGCTAAAAAAAAATTATTACTTAATATCTTGATCATCATTAGAAAGCAATTAGCCATGGCAAATTATGGTGTAGTTACAGGTCAAGGGAGCTACAGAGGAAAAGAATCCACAAGGGTGTCCAGGGCAGCAGGAAGGGAGGGCCAGCCCTCTTTGCTTGCTGAACAGTGGAAGGGTGCACACACATGAAGGAAGACTGCCACACCATCTTCTCACCCTGAAGCAGTGGGCCATTCTCAAACTACAACTCCCAGGGGCAGTGTCCCCATGTATCTCACATTCAAACATTTTAGTGAAAGCTCAAAACTTGTAAGGAAAATAAGCTTGGTACATTTACCAAAAATACAAATAAAGTACCACTTCTACATTAATTCAGAGCCACCAAGAAAACCTACTTTTGTATGTTCAGACATGTGCTTGTCATACTTTTCTTGATTCTTAAAGCCACGATCACAGGTATCACAAAAAAAGTGAAAAACCGGTTCTTTTCTTTTCTGTAAACAAAAAGAGGTATTAAGATTTTGGTAAAAAAAAAATCTCTGATCAACAATAAAAATATAACTATCCTTGGAAAACATACTTTGACTTTTTTGTTGTCTTTTTTGAGACAGGATCTCCCTGTAGTCCCAGCTAGCCTGGAACTTGTATAGACCAGATTGGCCTCCATCTCAGAGATCTGCCTGCCTCAGTCTGCTACGTGCTTGGACTAAAGGTGTGTGCCACCTCGCCCAGCATCGTACTTTAACTTTTTCACAAAAGGGGTTCTGAATAGACACACACACACACACACACACACACACACACACACACACACACTTTTTTTTTTTTTTTTGTCTTTTTGAGACAGGGTCTCCTTATAGCCCCAGCTGGCCTGGAACTCAAAGGATGATCTGCTTTATTTTTAACAAATATAATGGCAAAATCCAGGCATGATAAGCAAAATGTAAGTCTAAATAGAGCTAATACAAACTAAAAGTAGATTTCAACTTGGTAACCCAAGATTTAGTACAGCATCTGTTAAGAGAATCTAAAACTAAAAATTTAAGTTAAAAACAGTATCTCATTTTTTAGGAATAATAACGTGTTTTTCAAAATCAAAGGAAAGGGAAAGATTAGTTGGTTTGATTCAAAATTTCTTACTTTCATGCTTTAACATAAAAAAAAATTGGTATGCTAGAATATTGACATAGGAAATGGTCTCCAATTTTTTTGTTTTTTTAATGCTAGGACAACTAAAATATATGGTTCTGTGCAATACGATAACTAATAAGCTACAGTTTTCATGATAGGGAGATACTAATTTTATGTTCTAGGGAGTATCAGCTTATTTTAAAGTAATTGTGTTATTTTACATCTTAAATTTAAAGACCAGCTCTGCTAACCAAACATGGTAGCCAATGCCTATTATCCTAGTACTCAGGAGGCCAACAAAGGGCGATGAAGAGTTTGAGGCAGACTGGATTAGGGAGACCCTGTCTCAAAGAATGAGAAAAGAACATCATATTTTTTTATGTCAGAATCAAAGAACTCTATTTCCATATAGCTAGTATTAGGTTTACAAAGTATAACAAGGTATTATTCCTCATTTGAAGAAGAAAAAAAAAAAAGGCTTTAGGAACAATGACAAATAGCCATTACTGAAAATACTGAAAAATTACAATCAAGATAAACACATAACAGTAATAACAACAACAACAACAAAAAAAATCCTGTCTAAATTTCAGATTTTACACAAACGGGAAGAGTACACATTAACTATTTTAAGTAAGGAACATTAAATTATATTTAGCTTGAATTTAACACCAAGAAAAATAAGAGCTGCTTTTATATTACAGAAATATCTTTCCCTAGAAGATCCTTCCGTGTTAAAAACGGAAAGATTATGAAAAACGAAAGGTTTGTCATTGCAATTTATTAAGTTTATGCTTCCAAATCAGAAGAAAAAAATAAATTAAAAAACCTGGAACTTCTGGTCTTCTCTCAAAATTCCAGTTATCAGTCCTCCTCCACTACATTTTTTAAAAACTTTATCAAACACTAATAATGTTTATTAATTTGTAACCATAATACTCAATTATGTTTATTTGTATACTGAGGCAGATCCAATGTTTTCTTTTTCTATAATTTCACCATTTATTTCTCAAAACTATTTTGCTTGAACTCTACTTACAGCTAAGCTCCTTAAAAATCCTATTATAGTAACACTCCACTATGCCAGAAATGGATGTGAAACACTGAGATATCAAAACAAGAGATATAGTAACATAGTGACACAATCAACATCTCAGAAATACCTTTTTTTTCTGTTTTCTGTTAGGAGGCAAATTGAAGTCACTGAATTTTGCTTCGTGGTTTTGTGGAAAATAAGAATGTGTAACTAAAAAAGAAGAGAGAGATCCATTTAACTTCCCATCTGTACAATTACTTACAAATCATTTTTTGTTTCTTTGGAGTTCTGTTTGTTTTTGAGGCAGGAGCTGGCCTGAAATTCCATACGTAAACCAGGTTGGTCTCAATCTCACAAAGCTCCACCTGCCTCTGCCTCCTGAGTGATGGCATTGAAGGTGTGTGCCCCACACCAGGCAGATAATTTAGATAATTAGCAATAATAATGATAACGACAAAATTTACATCTTTTTGTTTTTATTATTGAAGTTTTGGATTTTCACATAATATGATGGTATTTAGATCTCCCCTTAACTGCCCCCAAGATTTATTTTCTAATTACCGGTGCATGTATGTATGTATGTCTGTGTACATGCACTTGAGTGTGGATACCCACAGTGGCCAGAAGAGAGTGTAGGATCCCCTGGAGGTTAAGATATAGACAGTTATGAGCCACCGAATGTGGGTGGTGGGAACCAAATAGGGTCCTTTGTAAGAGCAGTACATGTGCTTAACCACTGACCCGTCTCTCCAGCCCCTACTAACCACTTTCTAATGCAAACATGTCATCATTACTTCCGAATAGTTTTATTTCCTGCATTACGTCTTATACTAGGGAGATGGTAAGCCCCATTAAGGTTAAGGACTTTTTTTTTTTTTTTTTTTTTTTTTTTTTTTTTTTTTTTTTTTTTGGTCTTTTTGAGACAGGGTCTCCCTGTAGCCCCAGCTGTCCTGGAACTCACTATGTAGACCAGGCTGGCCTTGAACTCACAGAGAGCCACCTGCCTCTGTGTCCCAAGTGCTGGGATTAAAGGCGTGCGCCACCACGCCCAGCTCGGTTAAGGGCTTTTAGTTTGTTCTGTTCACTGCTATATAACTAGCCTCGGTATGTAATTGGACTGAACTTATTTGAAGTCTGAATGAACAGGTAGAGGGAAACTTCGCAGGTCACATTTTGAGACACTCATTACCACGAATACAGGGCAGAGATGAGAGATGAAAGGGAGAATGTATCGAGGGAAAGGGGAAGAGAAAGCAAAGGGGTATCACAATGAACGGCCGCCTACCAGGAGAGTAGTGGGACGTCTGATGCAGAGGAAAACCATTAGGAGACTGACACCAGTACCAAGGTGTCGAGGCTTGGACGTTCCAGGCCGACTGGCCGCTGAGCTGAGGCTGAGCATCCAGCTGGGCCTGGGCATCGACGGGAGGCTGCGCCCCGGGAAGAAGCTGAGCATCGAACGGGGGAGGCGCCCCGGAGAGAGACTGGGTCTGGACGCGCAACTGCGTTTTCCCGGACGGCTCGGACCCCGCGGCAGGAGACAACAGAGGAGGAGGAGGAGGCGGCGGCAGCATGGCCCAGAGCACCCAATTGTCCCGCGGCAGAGCGTTGTCGCTCAACGTCCCCATCGCTGCAGTCAGCTCGGGGGTAGAAAGCCAACCCGCAGGCGCCGGCTCTGCCATACCACCCCGTAGAGCCGAGCACGCGACTGTGGAGGCGGCATGAAACGTCACTTCCGTCCCGGCACCCAGATGGCTTAGCCAATCAAATGCTGAGTCGTCATCATCCTGGGCCTGACGTCATCAACAGACGTCAAAAACTTCCGGCCTTATCCACGCAGCACGGGCTGCCTTCTAGGCTGAGTTAGGCGCAGGGTGGTGTTTGCCGGGCTTGGGGACCGTCGTGTGCGTCGCCGCGGATGGCGAGGGACCTGATCGGGCCGGCACTGCCGCCTGGCTTCAAGGCGCACGGGACTGTGGAGGACGAGGAGAGGGACCCGAGCCCGGGTAAGCGGCGGCGGGCCTCTACCCTCGCGGAAAAGGCTGGCAAGCACGGTGGAGTAGGCGCGGCCCCGCGGTGGCCCTCTTTCCACAGACCAGGCATTTGGAAGCAGGCTGGGAACCCGGGATTTTGGGGGGCCTGATCATCATTATCACCGCGATACAGCCCCATTTCGCGATTAATGAGCCAGACTCTGCTAAGTTCGATTAATGCTTTCAGTGGTTTAGTTGACACTCTCAGCATCTGTGTAAGGAAAAGTAGTTGTACTTATATTACAAATGATGACAGCGACGCCCGAACAGGTGCCTAAATCACATAGTCGGTGATGGAGCCCAAATTAGAACCTAGTATCCCTACCCTGTTACCCTCAGACTTTCAAGACCCTTGCAGAAGATCCTGTGGCCACTTTGATCCGCGGCCTGCTTTCCTGGCCTTGCATCCTGTCATTCCGCCTTAAACATGCAGTCCAGTGCTCACATGGTCCAAGTTTCTGCATACTTCCTCAACACCAGGCTTCTTTTGGCCTCTGGTTGCACTTAACATACCGGACAACTCCTACACATCCTTAAAGGACCAATTTTTCACCTCAGCAAAACCTTTCTAAATTCTCCTGAGCATTTTCACACCACAGAGTTTTCTTCTGCACAATTACATTGAATATTTAATACACAGCATCTGAATAATTTGTTGACATATCCGTTTCCACCATTTCACGATGTCTTGTAATTAACATATGGCAGTTCTATATGCCCCATAAACGCTTCTCACGTTCTTTCATACATATGTCTTTAGCGTTTGTTCTAGTTTGTAGGCTGGGACTGACTACAGTTAGGAAAAAATGTCTCAATTATTTCTAAATCTCATTTTCCTTTTTTGGCTACCCAGAGGCTGTGTTGCCACTAGATGTTTCCTTCCAGATTTTGTTCCTCTTATAGCCATTTTTTAAACTCTTAGGAATTTGTTGTAGTTTTGGTTTTGGTATTATTTTGCTTTTTAGTAAGGGAGTTTCCATTCAACTAAGATGGAGAAGTGTGGGTGTATTCCACTGGGCAAATCCCCTGCAATTTGTTTACCGATGTTATCGTTGAAGGACATTTGGGCAGCTTCTGTATTATAACTGTTACAGAAATTGCCACTATGCATATATATAGTCCTCTGGTGTTCCAATGTTTACCGATTTTATCGTTGAAGGACATTTGGGCAGCTTCTATTTTATAGCTGTTACAGAAACTGCCACTATGCATATGTATATTCCTCTGGTGTTCTGGTGTTTACCTCCAGCTTGAGAGTACTGAAGTCTTACCATAGTTCTCAGCGAGTATGAGAATTTTGATTTTTCCACATTCTTCTTGTCTTTCTTTTTAATATAGTGTTTTATAGAAATATTACGTGGTAATTTTTTATCATTTCTGATTCTTGTGCTATGATCAAGTCTTTTGCTCATTTTCCCATTGAATTATCTCATTAATTTGTAGAGTTTTTGTTTTGTTTTGTTTTTGTATATGTATTTTTTTCCTTTTGGTCTTTTTGAGACAGGGTCTCTCTCTAAGCCCCAGCTGGCCTGGAGTTCACTATACAGACAAGGCTGGACTCGTCTCACAAGGAGCTGCCTGCCTCTGCCTCCCGAGTTCTGGGATCAAAGGTGTGTGCCACCAAGCTCAGCTTGTAGAATTTTCATTTTTATTTTTTTATTGACTAACATTTTTTAATGTGTATGAGTGTTATGTTTGCATGTATGTAAGTGCACCTGTGTCATGCACTCGGAGGACAGAAGAGATCATCGGATCCCCTAGAACTGGAGTTACAAATGGTTGTTAACTGCCATGTAGGTGCTATGATTTGAACCTGAGTCTTCTGTAAAAGCAGTCAGTGCTCTTAACAGCTGATCCATCTCTCCAGCCCCCTGTAGAGTTTTTTAAGTTAGCACACACAGAATTAGGCTTCCTTATGGCATTTTGAAACAAAGTTTGTTTTTGTTGACACTCCTCCCCTCTTCTGCCCCTTCCTCACATCACTTGAACCTTTCTACCCACTCTCCATAAATTCCTTTCTGCTTTCATGTCTCATGTGTACCCCCTTCTTCAACACCTTTTTCTATGTTGTAGTCTCCTTTCTAGTTTCATAGCCTCTACCATATTCATCTCATTTATATATATACATCTGACATAAGTTTGGTTCCATATGAGAGAAAACATGCTATATTTGTCTTTCTGAACTTGGGTTACCTCACTGAAGAACTTTCCAGTTCCATCTATTTTCCTGCAAATTTCATGATTTCATTTTTCTTTACTGCTAAATAAAATTCCGTTATGTATGTATACCACATTTTCATTATCCATTTATTTGTTGATGGGGAGCTAAGCTGGTTCCATTTCCTTGCTATTCTGAATAAAACATCAGTAAACATTTATGTTTCTGTGGGAGGATGTATAGTCATACATCTCCAGAAGTGTTATGACTAGGTCATTTGATAGTTCTGTTTTTAATTTTTTGAGAAACCTCCATATCAATTTCCATAATGGCTGTGCCACTTTGCATTCCCACCAGAAGTAAATAAGACTTCCTCTTTCCCCATATCCTCACCAGGATTTTTTTGTTGCCTTGTTTCTTAATGGTGGCCATTCTGGCTGGGGTGAGATGGAATCTCAAGTAGTTGAATTTTCATTTCCCGATGACTAAAGATGGTGAACACTTTTTTTTTTTTTTTTTTTTTTTTTTTTTTTTTTTTGTAGCCGCAGCTGGCCTGGAACTCACTATGTAGACCAGGTTGGCCTTGAACTCACAGAGGTCCATCTGCCTCTGCCTTCCAAGTGCTGGGATTAAAGGCATTGCACCACTAGGCCTGGTGTTGAACACTTTTTAAAATACTTGTTGGCCATTTGTGTTTCTGCTCTTGAAAACTTTGTCATTAGCCCATTTGTTAACTGGCAAATGGTTAATTTGGTTGTTGTTGGTATTTTATATGTGCATGGGTATGTGTATTTAATTTTTGCAGTTCTTTATACATGCTAGATATTAACCCCGTCTGAAGTATATCTTTCTGTCTGAAGAATTTTTATTCTCTTGCAGGCTGTCTGTTCACTCTGCTGATAGTTTCCTTTCCTATGAAGAAACTTTAATTTCATGTAGTCCTATTTGTTAATTCTTGGGACTATTTCCTATGGGATCCTGTTGAAAAAGTTCTTCCCTATGTTTATGTCTTGAAGTATATTCCCTATGTTTTCTTATAGCAGTTTCAACATTTCAAGTTTTTAAAAGTGTATTTATCTTTATTTTTTGTGTATGAGTGTTTTGCCTGCATGTAGTAAGTATACCCATATCTGCACTGCCTGAGAAGGCCTGAAGAGGGTGTCATATTCTCTGGAACTTGAGTTAAGGATGGTTGTTAGCCACATGTGGATGCTGGGAATCAATCCCGGTCCTCTGCAAAAACAATCAATGCTCTTAACCACTCTGGACCATCTCTCCCGCTTCCAGCATTTCAAGTTTTAAGTTAAAGTCTTTGATTCACTTTTAATTGACTTTTATGCAAGTCAGAGATAATGAATTTAATTTAATTGGTTTATCTGTAGAGTTCTTTATATAGTCTAGATATGGGTCATTTTTCAGATACATGTATTGCAAATTTTTTCTCGAAATCTATAGTTGCCTTTTTGCTCTCTTTTACTATGATTTTATTTTATTTTGGTTTGTTTTGGTTTTTAAATTTTGCTTTGGATTAGGATTTTTTGTTGTTGTGTGGTTTTTTTGTTTTGTTTTTGAGACAGTGTCTCATGTAGCCCAGACTGACCTCAAGCTTATTATGTAGGCAAGGATGGTCTTGAATTATTGATCCTCCTGCCTTTGTCTCCTGAGTACAGGGGTACACCACCATGATCAGCCATAGTTTGATGAAGAGAAGCTCTTAGTTTTAACGTATTGTAATTTTTTTTTAAGGACATGGTCTCAAAGAAAAAAGCTTACTATGTAGCTGAGACTGACCTTGAATTTGCTATGTAGCTAAAGATGACTGTGAGCTTCTGATCATCCTGCCTCTGCCTTCTGAGTGCTGGATTTACAGGGTGTGCCACCACATCTAGTTTATGTGGTACTGGAGATTGAAACCAAGACCCTATGCATACTAGGCAGGCATGTTGCCAACTTTCATATGATTCTTTAAAAAATTTTGTTTTAATGTATGAGTGATTTGCCTGCATGTATGTAAGAGCACTACAGTACCCACAGAGGCCAAAAGAGAGCATTGGATCCCCTGGAACTTGAGCAATGGATAGTCATTAGCTGCCATGTTGGTGCTGGGACCTGAGCCCAGGTCCTCTGGAAGAGCAGCCAGTGCTTTCAACTACCAAGTCATCTCTCCAGTCCCTTTTATTGTGATTCTTAATTTTTTCTTTAATAGTAGTAATTATTTATATTCTATTTTAAAGAATCTGCCTGCCCTGAGGTTATAAAACTGTTGTATTTTCTTCTAAAAGCATTATTGTTTCAGCTTCCATGTTTACTTTTATAGTTTGTCTGAAATTAATGTCTACATATGATAGGCAGTAGGGATGAAGGTTTTTCTTCCCCCCATATGACTATCCAGTTGACCTGGTATCATTACAGACATTCCTTCTCCACTCTACTGTAAAATCACCTTCTTTATAACTGTTGTGACCATATATGTACATCTAGGGTTTTTTTTCTTTCATTGTTATCATAAATACACATCAGATCTACCACATTAGCCATTTTAAGCATACAGTTTAATGGCATTACTTACATCCACACTGTTATATATCTATTACTGTCATCCATCTCCAGACTTCTCTTATTTCTCAAAACTGAAATCTCTTATCCATTGAATAAAAACTCCCCATCTCTCTCCCAAAGTCCCTAGTGATCACCATTATGAATGCAACTAAATACCTCAAACTGCTGTAGGGGTTTTTTTGTAACCTTCTATTTCACTTAGCATAAAGTCCTCAAGGTTCATTTAGATAGCATTCATCAGAATTTCCTTCAAGTGAGGACTCCTGAGTGCAGTGATAGCTACTGTGTTTCTTATATCCTACACTCAGAAAGAAATCCCTGGCCATCAGGGTGACCTGTTCAGAGAAGGGAGGGAGCCCATGGGTCTGAGATGGAATAAATAAACTGCATTCAAATATGTAGTCTGGAATTTGACCTCCTCTCTCTACGTGGATTCCAGGGCCCATCCAGTGTTTTCAACTGCCTTCCATTGGGTTTTCTGTTAAACCCATCCAGCAAAAAAGTAGCCCCAGATGACTACATATACTACTTCTGTCAGACTATTCCTGGGCTGGCAAATGCTGCTGAAGAAACCTCCCCTTCATAAACCAAAGAAGCTGAAAATGCTAGGCTCCTGCCTATCTATATCCATAACTTTGCTGACTAATCCTCACAGGCTTTACCATTCTCTTCTCACTCCCATTAGCAAGTGTGATGCTTTAAAACCTTTTCTTTCTTAAACTGTATTTCACCCCACTTTATGGGAAAAATACTTGTAAAGTTGAGCATGCTAGTGCACACTTGTAAGCCCAGAATCTCCCAGGATGTGGAGGCAGGTAGATCAGGAGTTCAAGGCTAGTTTGGGCTACATAGAGAGTTTCAGGCCAGCCTGGACTGTGAGACCATGTCTCAAAAATAACAACAAAAAGCAGATGCCAACAAGAGAACTTCCCATTTTCTATAAAAGCTCTCCTGGATCTATTTCTGTCTTCCCTTCAACAGTGAAATAGGTGTGCTTCTAAACGAATCCTTCCGTTCTACTCTGCATCTGTTGTCTTGTCCTCAGGGGTCCATAATCTTAGCAGTTAGCCAAAATATTCAACCCCTTCATGTCATCAAAGGGAACTCAGTTTTCTACCTCCCACTGGCTACCCCTCCTTCCTTCTAGACTGCCTTCCTTTTTGTCCTTACCACCTTTGCCCAGCTTTCTTGTCTTTTAGGCCCCTACACAGCCACCACTTCTGGGGAGCATTTTCTGACACCATTCCTTACCTCCTGCAAAAGCCAGGGTCAGGCACTCCCTCTCTGTATTGTTGTAACTTTACTGTGTCCCAGGGTCACTGCCGTGTCTATAAAGGACCAGATAGTAAATATTTTATTTTCTGCAGGTACAAATCTACTAATGAGAGCAAAAGAATTTCTTTGGGGGAAGTGAGGTTTTATTGAGGTTCAAAGTTGATATCCCCAATCATCAAAAATCAGTTACAGAAAAAAAGCAATTGCTCATGTGTTGATGCTGATCTATAGATAAAATTTTACATGCTGTACATATTTCATCTGTATGTATAATAGAAAAGTAAGGCAGACCCCCTATTCTCATGGAATTCATCCTGTTGTAAAATTGCCACTGTAAAAAGAACTTCCTCAATGATAAGCATCACTGCTTTATATATCTGAAATAATTCTTAGACGATTTGTATACTTCACAAGACAGGTACTTATAAAACATGAACGTAGGTATGTCCTTAATTCTATTAGCAAGTCTGTAGTGAACTTATACTAATTGACAGTTCCAGTATTATTTTCCTTTTCTATATTACCACCTCTTAGTCTGTCAGTTTATCACTAGACTGGTTAGACTTTGTCAACTTGACACAGCTAGTGTCACCTGTGAAGAGGAACCTCCTCAACGGAAGAAATTCCTCCATCAGATTGGCCTGTGGGCATGTTTGTGGGGCATTTTCTTGATTGCTGATTGATTTAGGAGGACGCACAGCTGTATAAGAAAAGTAACTGAGCAAGCCAGGGGAAGCAAGCCAGTAAGTAACATTCCTCCATGGTCTCTGCTTCAGTTCCTGCCTCCAGATTCCTGCTTGAGCTCCTGCCCTGGCAGTCCCTTGATAATAGACTGTAACCTGTAAGCTGAAATAAACCCTTTCTCCTCCAAAGTTAGTTTGTGTCAGTGTTTAATCACAACAGCAGAAAGCAAACTTCCATGTAACATCTGTTTCTTTTGATACAATCCATTATTTTAAAACACAGGACCTTATGCTCTCAGATGAGTTTTGTCTTCATTTGTTCATTATCTTACTAAAACTTGTATCTTGTTTCTTTAAAAATTTGAGGAAAATTATGTATTGGTTATAATATCAAGGACAACACCTATTTAGATATATTAGGCTTATAATCGTTTGAACGATATAAAAGAGTAATACATTTGTTCTTCATGAAGACCAATCCAAAATTGACCAGTAGTATCCTGATATGTTATTTGGGTACACCCACATATAAGAAGAGGAAGATGCAAAGGAGAAAAAAAAACCTTCCCTCTTTAGCATTTATAATCTAGAAAATAGAACGAGTCATTATGAGAGTGAAATCTAATCTCCTGTCACATTCATTGGTGTCAGAGATCAAATGAATCTCAAATTACAGTTGAAAAATATTTACATACTGACATTAACTATTCTTCAGTAAATTCTAAACCAAAGTTCTAGACATCAATTCAGTCCTTAGTGCCTAATGTTTTCCTCTGTTTTCAATTTGCCTGTTCTGTACGAAGGCATGCTATACTGTTCTTAGCATTGATTTTCTAAAATGCCTTCCATTCTGATAATATTGAAAAAAATGCATTTTTGGAAAGAATTTTATTTTTAAGTTAATTTATTGTATTGTAAGGACTTGTTCTACAGAATAGTCTAAGAGAGATAGGAAAGTTATTCAGAAATATGCCAGTGGTCCCCAAAGTAGCCCAGTTTCTCCCCTGAAGTTTACATATTTAGTGTTAGCCAAGGCACTGCTGAAATTACAATGACCAAGGTAACGTTTAAAAACCAAGCACTTGCCAGGCAAGGCAGTGCATGCCTTTAGTCCCAGCACTCAGGAGGCAGAGACAGGAGGATTTCTATGAGTTCCAGGACAGTCTGCTTTATATAGCCAAGGCTACATAGTATTTCAGAAAAACAAAAAACAACAAAAAGCACTTGACTCACCCCTACACTTGCTGCTCCAGGGAGACTAGTCTCACACTGAAAAGAGCATTGCATCCCCCTAGCTACCCAGCCAGGCCAGAAACTAAAACTCATCCTGGGCTCCATGTTTGTTTTCCTCTCACCTGTCTCATCCCAACTTGTAGCAAATCCACTTTGCCTTTCCTTCCAAGTACATTGTAAATCAAAACATTTTTAACAGTTTTTTAGTTTTTCTCCAGATCTCCCTGTTAACACCACATGCAATTTTGTTTTGTTTTAAAAGGTAATTCAGGTCATGATTTGAACCTCCTCATGGCTGCCTGTTATTGAAATCCAAACTGTTTTTCCTAGCCTATACTAGCATTTATCGAGCACTTAACTACATGCCAGATACTATGCTAGGTGCTTTGTGTGTATTAAGTGATATATTTACAACTGTCCTGTGAAGTTGAAACTTTAGCCTCATTTTACACAGCAACAGTGTAACACAGGAAGGTTAAGTAACTTATGAAAGTCACACAGCTACTAAGTGGCAAAGTCCAGGTTCAAAGCCAAAGAATCTAACTCCAAAGCCTGCAACCTGTCCGTTTGTCCATCCCAACTTCATCTTATCATGCTTACTTTACTTTGCTTTAGCCATACTGGCCTCTCGTCCCTGAGGAGTTTTGAGCTTCTTCTCTCCATAGGCAGAGTGTAGTTTATTCTCTTCAGCATTGGCTCTTCCCCTTCTAGAATCTTTTTTCAGCTTGTTAGTGGCATCTGTTGTCTGATCACTTAAGTTCACCCAAATGCCTCATCAGAGTGGCCTTCCCTGAACTTTGTCTTTCAAGTTGCCCTCCCACATGGTTTTGTAGTTTTGACCTGAATGCATCTTTCTCTATATGCTTGTTTTTAGAAGTAAGGGATTTCTTTACTCAGTAAGGGGGGGATGGATGGATGGATGGATGGATGGATGGATGGATTCCTTGATGGATGGAAGATTCAAGTCCACAGTAATTATTAGCCAGGCTTGGCTATGAATTTCAGAAAAGAAAATAAAGATGTTCAGCTGGCAGGACTCAGTGAAACAATTGCCACTAGTTATAACACATTCAACCATCTCTTCTACAGTTGCAGGGCCAGCTCTGCCCCCCAATTATAAAAGCAGCAGTTCCGACTCCTCAGACAGTGACGAGGACAGTAGTTCTTTTTCTGAAGAAGGAAATCAAGAATCTGAAGATGACAGTGGTCCAACTGCACGGCAAGTCACTTAAATTATATAATAACCTGAGCTTCACACCTCAAAAAGTTGCCTGCAGCCAATGGCTGCTAGGAAAATACCATATTAGGGTTTATGCAACACAAGGGAAAAAATCATTTCATGAGGCATTTCATCATGAACTGTATCTTTTATAAAGAAGCTTATTGCAGTAATATGTACATGTAGAGATACCGAGAATTTATTTATTTGTGTATATGGTTCTGGGCATCAATTCTATGACCTTGAGCAAGCTAGGTAAGTGCTTTACCACTGAGCTACATTCCTGGCCCATTAAAATTTATATATATAAGATTTTTTCTTAACATATTGTTGAAATGACTAAATACTGTAAGTAACCCATGGATTTTCTTTTTTAAGTTGATGTGCAGTGAATGTTCTGTTTAAATGAATGATTTCATGGCTGGAGAGCTAGCACAGCAGTAAAGAGCACTGCTCTTACAGAGGACCCAAGTTCCGTTCCCAACAACCACATGGCAGCTAATACCCCTTAGTAACTGCAGTTCCAGGGGATCTTAGCCTTCTATAGCACAGCAGTAAAGAGCACTGCTCTTACAGAGGACCCAAGTTCAGTTCCCAACAACCACATGGCAGCTAATACCCCTTAGTAACTGCAGTTCCAGGGGATCTGAGCCTTCTTTTGACATCTGCAGGCATTACATGCACGGGATGCACTTGCATACATGCAGGCAAAACACTCATACACTAATTAATTAAATTAATTAATTTCCTTTTAATTTTGCCTTACCCAACATCAGTCATGTAGATAAGTTGAACCTTTGTTTATTATGAAATAACAGATTTTCTTTTCTTTTTTTTAAAAAAATAATTTATTGAGAATTTCATACATGCATATAAGGTGATAAGGTGTTTTGATCAAATCCATGCTCCGTCCCCTTCAACTCCTCCCATATCTCACCATCACTTTTTTTTCTGATAACTTCATGTACACTTTCTTCTTCTTCTTTTTTTTTCAATGGGGCTTTTACTGCTCTAACATTCCTCCCGCTGAAGAGGTAGCCCTAAAATCTTTTAAGGATGTTCTACTTCCCTGGGCCTGCACAACCCACAGGCCTCTCTCCTAACTGCAGGCCTCTCTCTCCGAGGTTAGTCAATCGCACCCTCCCACCATCCATGCCTTGACTCTCCCAGCCTCATTCATGCGCCCATCTCTCGAAGCATAGATGAGATGTTTCCTCTGAGTTGACCCTCCTCTTTGTAGACCGGACACTGGTTCAAGTCCATCTCATGGGGTCTCTATGGCCTCCCTGAACAAGAGGACATGTGACTCACCACAGATACAGGAAATTTTGAAAGATGTTCCATAGTCCCATGGAACTTGGTCGACCTTGGAGGGCAAGGGGCAAAAACTGTCCTTTAAGTCACTGACCAGATTAGTATAGGTCTTAAAGTATAGGTGTTAAACATCCAATAAGGTTAGTTCCACCAGTCTAGTACTTTTAATTACCATGTGCTATGTAGATAAAGCTTGAGTAAAAAGCCAAATATTCTCAGATAAAACTTGACTAGATATATATTTTGTTCCTTAAACTAGTTGACTAAACTATGACCTTAGAAATTTTAACATTATGTGTATATTAGTTTTGTCTTGTCCTTTATATTTCATAACAAACCTACACAGACCTTCATCACTTGCTTAGGCTTTCTCATTTTTTTCTATTGTGGAAAATATCTCCATTCCCATATCCTTTTAACATCTTTTACATTCTCATTTTTTTTTTTTTTGAGACAAGTTTTCTGGTATC